ATTTAATGAACATAACAGTTAAATATTGAATTTGGCTGGGCTCAGCTTGGTAACATATTATTCGGTTTTAGTTTTTATTTATAACTTTTTTATGAAAAAAATTAAAATATTTTTATATATGATAAAATGATTGTTTTAAAAAAAATTGAATTAAGGTTTCTGGTATACCTGTATACTAACATATCCCCCGCCTTAGTTGCAGTCTAAAAGGAACAGAATTTGTAAATAATTAGGCATTTGTAGTGACCCCCTCATTTGAACGTCGGCAATATAGATCAAGTTTAGGTTTACAAAAACCTAAAACGAAGTATATGTCGGCTACTGGTAGAAATGTGCGTCGCTCGGACGCCGGGCTAGTGGCTGGCGACTATACTTTCGAATCTGTCAAGGATTTCATCTACCTTGGCACCGCCGTAACGAATACAAATGATGTCAGTCTGGAGATCAGACGAAGAATCACCATTGCTAATAGGTGCCACACACACAAATTGGGATGTAGAGCTCTTTGCCCTCGTGAACAAACAAAAACTCACGCCTCATAGGTCGCTCACCTCCCTCGTGCTTCTGTATGGCGGCAGAAGCATGGACGGTTACACAGAATGATGAAGCAGACGGGAGTGTTCGAGAGAAAAGTTTCTTCGTAGAACTTGGTCTCTACGAGCGTCGGCGACGACACCCGCATTAGAATGAACCACGAGCTGTACGAGCTTTATCACGACATTGATGTAATTCAGCGCATTAACATCCAACGGCTTCGCTGGCTTGGTCATGTCGTGAGAATGGATGAAGACGCTCCGGCGAAAAAGGTGTTTGAAGCAGTAGTCGGCGGAAGAAGACGTAGAGGTAGACCGTGTCTCCGGTGGAGTGATCAAGTTGAGGGAGCACTAACTGGACTTGATATACGAGACTGGAGAAGGCGCGCACGCAGCAGAGGCGCCTGGGGAGACATGCTGCGTCAGGCCGAAACTCGGTAACGGGTTGTTATGGCCACATAAGTAAGTAAGTTAGGTTTACAAAGTAAAACCGTTTTAAAATTATGTCTAATATTAGATTTTCATTAAAAGTTCAATAATTTTTTATTCTCTAGTATTGTAGAAATTGACCGAAATCACATTTTATTACGATATGGAAAAAATTTTCTTCCGAAACTATCTAAAAAATCGTTCCACAAACTATGGTATCGTATATGCATAAACCCGGTAAGAAACATTTAGCAATAATATAATTTGATTTAAGATTATATTCATATCTCAATGTATGATTAAATATAAAGTATTACAATTCTCGCTCACTTTGGTTTTCTTATAAGTTGTTAGGTCTTTTGAGAAAATATACATTTCTTGTATTCAGGGTTTAATAGAATTATAGGTATTGATTATTAGTTATTTTAAAAAAATATTTATTTCTTATTTTAATAGTATTCATTATAATACAAATCAAGGCATCTAATATTTCAAAATGTAACTACAAATAAGCTTTTAAGACAATATTAAGTAGAAACACGGTTGCCACTTATGGTACTTTAGTACCAAAATTGGTACTTTTTTTGTCGTTTGGTACTCATGTTCAAAAAATGGTACATTTTTGACGACCCAACTTTATTGTGGATATTTCCAATTAATTTTTTTTATAAATGCAACTTTGCACTATTTTATATTTTGTTCATTGGTACCTTTTTAAACCAATTTTGGTACAGGAAAAAATTTTCAAGTGGCAACCGTGAGTAGAAGTTAAAAAATTAAAACTTTAAATGATGGATAAAAAAATTTTATTTTAAAAAGTATGAATATTGTCATTTTAGTAAATCTACTTTAATTGAATATATAAAAATTGTTGTCTTAGATATTGTTCGTCGAATATCCTTTCATTCTTTTGAAAAATTAATTTCTTAAAGAAATCTATTTACGGAATAATTGAGAATTTTTTATTTTCAACAAGTAAGGAAGGGAATTTTGGATGCTTAAGGCTAAAATATTATCTTTTCAGTAAAAGCAAGTTTTCTGAAGGCATCAAATTGATCAATTATAACCAGAAACCCAGATGCATAGAATAAACAATTAATAAAAATGCAAGAAATTATATATACAATGTTTTTCATTCATCACAGTTAAGTCTTCTTTCTTAAAAGAGGTTCTTTTGTATTGTTTTACTTTAAGTAAATCTCAAATAAATTTTGATTGATTATTTATCGTAACATTTTTTTTGAAGTTGTTGATATTTGTATTTATGATGGTTTGAATCGGGCTTTCATCTGTTTTATTAATCATCGATTTGTAAGTACGCCTGTCTTACTGAGTTACCGATACCTTGGTTGTTTCAGGTAACCATGCCAAAAGATTTAATCTCCCTTTCAATGATACCTGCCGCAGCTGTGAAGAGGACGATGAAAGTGCCTCCTATCTGCTATGTTTCTGTCCAGCACATCACTTTAGGGGCTTAATTTTTTGAGGATCTTGGCGAACTGCAAGACCTTCCCCTGAATGGAATTATAAGTTTAGCTAAAAGTTCTAAGTGGTTCTAATCCTTGTGAGTTCAATTATACGGTAACGCAGTGGGCCTATAGACCTAAGTCTATCTATCTGCTTTATCTTTAAAAAATTGAAAACAAAATTGTAATCAACACTGTTATATTGCATTACCTTTAAAAAAAAAAAAATTAAGTGGTTATATTGTGTTAAGGGCATTTGTTCAATAAATGTATTCTTTTATTTTTATTCTTAAAATTAAAAACAATTCAATTGTTTATTATTATTGTGAGGATGGAAATTTGTAATAATTTCCAACCTACATAAATTTAAATAAATTTCGAAGAAATCTGAAATTAAAATAGATAAATTAACATTTAACATAGTTATTAGAAACTACTTACCAAAAAGCTACCCAGCCTGCACGCAACTGCAACACGTGAAGCAATCTGAAATTAGGAGATAATAAATTTGTAATAAATAGAGAAATATATCTTAATAAAATAATAAATACATACCTTCTTTGTTCATCCCCGCAAATTTATTTAAATAATTTTCTAATAAATTATTTTTTATAATTATAAAATTAAATTATAAATAATTTAATAAAAACAAGAAGCACCGCACGCAAAGTTACAAGAATTATCAAATCAAAACATAACAAGCAAATATCAAAAACGTCAAAATAGAAATTCGCCGCAAAGAGATAGACGAGATCGGTTGAGCGCACAACTTGAAGAACAGTACGAAAGTAAGACATACAAACGGGAAAGTAAACAAAACTTCACAAAACAGCAGAAAACAATTGTATGTGCGCTACACAAAAAGCTCGTCTGATCTGTATAAAAGACGACGCATTTTTGGTAAGGGTAGTGAGTCTTGTATGATCACTCGGTGGCATTGTATGTCAAAATATAAAATAAATAAATATAAAAAAATATTGTCTGACACAGTGGCGGTTTTAAGCCTAGTTGTATAAATTACTAAAATATATATATAATTGTGTACAAGTGCATGGGCGGTTTTAAGTCAAGACACTTGGACACTATTGTATAGATATTCTATAACCAAACAAGGAAATACATTTTTTGTATATATACACTAACCCTTCTGTCCCACACAGGTACGCATTGAGCAAGTAATCATACGAAGATACAAACCACGGAACCAGATTAGAGATCACCGAGCTCCAAAGGAACAACCTCCAGATACAGCAGAATACCAGGAAATAATCTCAAGTTTCTCAAGTTTAATCACGTTTAATGAATTTACTTTGTTTTTTTTTTTTTTTTTTTTAAAAAATACTATGTCATTGAATTGTACACATTAGTAATCTCAAGTTTACATAATTACGTTTAACTAAATTCCTTTTTTATAAATACTATTTTCATGAATTAATAATATTTTAAATAAATCTACATTTAAAATTTAACACACATTACTTTTATTTTGAGAAGTCCTGTCTCCGCGAATATAAATTTATTGTAGCGACCGCCTGGAAAAGACTGAGGATACCCCAGCATAAATTATAACGAAACGGGAAAATCCGTGTCGTTACAATTGGCGCCCGAGCAGGGACAGACAGACTTCTCAAAATTAAATCAAAGTGATATCCACGTTACAATGGCACAGGCAAACATGATTATAAGATAAAATCTAGATACTCTCGCTCATAGTTCAATTCAAGCCAGTTCAACAGAGAAACATACAAGACGTTCGCATAAGCAGCACATCATGGCCTTATCGTGTGCTCAAAGCGTGGAGCGGATACGAAAATGGTCTGTAAAGTACAATGGAGGAATAGATCCAATAGATTTTGTGGAAAGCATAGAAGAGGTAGCGGACCTTGACGACATCAACGTGAATTTAGTTCCCAGGATGATGCCCATACTGCTTGAAGACAAAGCACTGATGTGGTACCGCAACAACAATAAGCATTGGAACCTTTGGTCAAGCTTCAAGATGGACTTTCTAAAATTTTTCCTTTCATATAGGTATTTCGAAAGATTAGAAGACGAGGTGCGGAAACGAGTTCAGAAGGAACAAGAAAGTTTTAAAGATTATGTACTGGAAATCAAATATCTTATGCGACACACAGGCATGAACCAAGATTCACAATTGGAACGAATATACCGAAATATGCGCACAGAGTACCAAATGTACATCAAACGTCGAGACTTTTCGAGTTTAACAGAATTAGCAATACTAGCAGATGACTTCGAAGAACTTCGCGCAGAACAGGATAAAGCGAGTCGAGGCAGCGTTCGACAGGAAGTGATAGTTCGTCGCATAGAAGTTGAACATCCACAAATGATGGTATTGGAAAATACAGTGAGACGCATACCTACTACGCCGACACAGGACAAACTTATTCCCAGTTCAAATTCCAAGTTACCTATCCTCAACCAGCAGAGAAGTAATCAGCAAAGCAACCAGCCGACAGCTAAGCAAGTAACAGCACGAATCATACAAGATCAAGATATATTTCAAAATCAAATGTACTAAGTATCAACTCAGCAAAATATCCAACATGTCATGCCAGTTAGAGGAACTCTAAAACCATTCAATCGAAACCAAGTCACAGAAGTTCAACAAATGCTGCAAATCCAACCATGCGAACCAAAGCAAGAATCACAAAATATTAGGCCCATCAGAGGAAATTCACAGATAGAAGAAACACAACGACAAGTAAACCCAAAACTTACAAAGAAGAATCCCGAAGTATTTAAGCCAGCACGAGTTACACCAGATCAGGAAATATTTCATAGTCAAACGAAGCAAGTATCAGTACACCAAACACCGCAACATGTCACGTCGTTCAAAGAAAACTTAAAATCGTTCAATCAGGACCAAGCCACAGAATTTAAACGTATGCTCCAAATCCAAGCGTGCAAACCACAGCAAGATTCAAGACCCAACAAGCAAAATCCCAAAGTATCTATACAACAGCGAGTCACACCAAACCGTGAAATAGTATCAGTTGAAATACAAGAACTACAAAACCAGTTAAAACCAATATTTATCAAAGAAAATCTCGAAGTATCTAAACAACAGCAAGTCACCCCAAATCATCAAATATTACAAGTTCAAACACAGAAAGCACAACGACAGAAAGAACCAAGCGTAATCAAAGCGCAAAAACAAAAGATTCAACGGCACAAAGATCCAAGTCCTAGCAAGAAAAATTCACAGGTAGTTAATCAACCAAAAAGAATCAATCCAACGAGGAATCACCATATAACACAAGTTAAAATTCAAGATACACAAGGATGCGTAGAACAACAGCAAGTTCAAGATATTGAAACACAACAAGGTCAACAAAAGGTTACAGTCAGCGAAAATCATAACAAACGAGTTCGATTGACTCAAGAAACCCCAAGTCCGACACAATCATTGCAACAAGTTTCAATTAAACACGATAGTCAACGAAAGCAAGAGTCACAAGAAGAAAAAGATGATTCCACACGTCCGAAGGATAAGATAGACAATCCTCTGATACAAGTACAGGAACTAAGCCTAGGAATTCCAAAACCATTCAGCACCCAAAAACTGCAGAAGCCGATGAATAACTTAGATGTACTCCAGCAGAAGGATTATGATCTTGTTAGTACAGACCAAGACAAATTCTTCAAAGTATTCAAGAGCCCAAAGAAACGGCACAGGAATTATGCATGCAGGTAGTGCATCGCGGCAAGTTCATTTTTTCTCAAAGAAGGAGGGAAATGTGAGGATGGAAATTTGTAATAATTTCCAACCTACATAAATTTAAATAAATTTCGAAGAAATCTGAAATTAAAATAGATAAATTAACATTTAACATAGTTATTAGAAACTACTTACCAAAAAGCTACCCAGCCTGCACGCAACTGCAACACGTGAAGCAATCTGAAATTAGGAGATAATAAATTTGTAATAAATAGAGAAATATATCTTAATAAAATAATAAATACATACCTTCTTTGTTCATCCCCGCAAATTTATTTAAATAATTTTCTAATAAATTATTTTTTATAATTATAAAATTAAATTACAAATAATTTAATAAAAACAAGAAGCACCGCACGCAAAGTTACAAGAATTATCAAATCAAAACATAACAAGCAAATATCAAAAACGTCAAAATAGAAATTCGCCGCAAAGAGATAGACGAGATCGGTTGAGCGCACAACTTGAAGAACAGTACGAAAGTAAGACATACAAACGGGAAAGTAAACAAAACTTCACAAAACAGCAGAAAACAATTGTATGTGCGCTACACAAAAAGCTCGTCTGATCTGTATAAAAGACGACGCATTTTTGGTAAGGGTAGTGAGTCTTGTATGATCACTCGGTGGCATTGTATGTCAAAATATAAAATAAATAAATATAAAAATATTGTCTGACACAGTGGCGGTTTTAAGCCTAGTTGTATAAATTACTAAAATATATATATAATTGTGTACAAGTGCATGGGCGGTTTTAAGTCAAGACACTTGGACACTATTGTATAGATATTCTATAACCGAACAAGGAAATATATTTTTTTATATATACACTAACCCTTCTGTCCCACACAGGTACGCATTGAGCAAGTAATCATACGAAGATACAAACCACGGAACCAGATTAGAGATCACCGAGCTCCAAAGGAACAACCTCCAGATACAGCAGAATACCAGGAAATAATCTCAAGTTTCTCAAGTTTAATCACGTTTAATGAATTTACTTTGTTTTTTTTTTTTAAAAAAATACTATGTCATTGAATTGTACACATTAGTAATCTCAAGTTTACATAATTACGTTTAACTAAATTCCTTTTTTATAAATACTATTTTCATGAATTAATAATATTTTAAATAAATCTACATTTAAAATTTAACACACATTACTTTTATTTTGAGAAGTCCTGTCTCCGCGAATATAAATTTATTGTAGCGACCCCCTGGAAAAGACTGAGGATACCCCAGCATAAATTATAACGAAACGGGAAAATCCGTGTCGTTACATTATTTATATTCGTAATATTTTCAGCACACAATATTATATAAATAAATAGAAGGAAATTGATTTAATGAAACAGTAAATGCCCTTCCTTCTAATCAAATATTTTTTCATTTGAAATTTTAAATGTCCTGAAAAATATTCATTATGTGCTAGTAATAGAATTGTCATCTTTCCTGCTGAAAAGACAGAATGTATGCACTTTTCTTAATAAACTCATTTCATACATGTGTGCAGAGTTGCTTTGGCACATAAATTTGCAATGCAGCACACAATATCAAAATCAAACACTTCCGCTTCCGTAGTAGCATTAATTTCTACTTCGTTGCATCGTACAGAAGACTCATATATGCAATTTGGGTGCACACATCCCTTTTAGCTGCAAATGAACTTGCAGTGTTGCCAACTTTTGAGAAAAATTTTACAGTAATATGCCTGAACAGCACATAAATATACCATTTAAGTGCATTTGTTAGATATGAACTGATATGTATGTAAGTCGTATGTACGTATGTGTCTTATTAAGAATGATAGTGTCAGTGTTGAAATGAATTCATAAAGTCTAGTAAGTAAATCGGTATGTGCGGTAGAAGTTGGCAGGTCTTGATCGCAAGGGTGTTATTAAAATCATTTCGTATATGATTGCCTTACATATCATTTCTAAGTTTAATATAGAGACAATGGGTGGTGGCAAGGCATATAAGAAGTACTTGTCAAAGTTAATATTTTAGTTAAAATATGTGTGAAGCTCTCTTTTTTTTGGTATAAAGTTTAGTGCCAAACTTAGAACCGTTGGAAAGTGATAATACTGACTCTAGTTTTGGTTGTTTTGTGTCATTTTTTTTAGTTTTTATGCAAAAGGGCAAAAGCTTTTATGAAGACTTTTCAAAGCCTTCATTTATGAAATTACTGTTTTTTTGAGTTTGTGATATATGCTGTTTAATTAAACCATAAATTAACCAAAATTCAATTATGCGCTTCAATTAAAATTTTACAAAGTCAAGCTATACATCCTGTCTCAGTCATAAATCAACGTGAAAAGTCTTCAGCAAGAAAAAGTTCATATGGGTTGTGATATTTAAGCACAATTAACTTTGAATTTGAAGCCAGCGTACATTCAAGCACAAACTTAACTAATAAAAACACACACAAGTGCATCCTCTTCCGGTGCCACTTTGTATAACGGAAATAGGAAAGCACTAGCAATCATGTATATTGTCCGTTTGCTTATGAGTTTGATTTCCCATACTTACTGCTCTTCTTTTTGTTACTGACCAATTTAGTATACATGTGGGGATTTTTTTTTCAAAACTTTTCTGGTTTTACGTACGTATCCTTTCAGTTCCATTTTTTTCCCTCTAATATAACCTATCTTCATTGAGCTAATGCTGTTAGTAGTGCTACGAGAACAGGAGTCTGTAGTTTGTTGGCTTATTTGTTAGTTATGTTTATGTACTATAGATACTGATATGCGTGTATGTACAAGTACAGAGTGTAGTTCTTTTTTTAATTTCTTACCCAAAGCATCTTTGACTTTTGGGTGCAATAAAACTGCAAATGAAATGCATTGTTAACCCCTTAACTGCATTTTCCGCATATGAGGCAAGCTTTCACTTGAGTGCTTCTGCACGTGTGTAGGTGATTATTTCCTTCAGTTGTTGTTTAAATTGTTTTTCATTACGGTCAAAGTTTATAATCAAATTGCATTTTATAGTTGGAGAAATTTGATGAAAAAATTGTTTCAGCTTTTTTAAACAGTTTCCTCTATGTTTGATATTGTGTTCATTTCTTTTCCTGATCCTGATCCTTGCTTTAATTGGAATGCCTTTCGTTTTTTTCATAACAAAATTTTAGTATCGATTTAATGTTTTTATTATTTTAATGGAGGTAGTTTAAAAGCATTATAAATAATCAAAATTACTCTACATTTTTAATGAAACAATTTTTAAGCATATTACTACTAAACTAATTTTAGAATACCAACTGAAGACGTAAATTGAGTTTAGTGGTTGATTTTAGTGGTGCCACAGTTTTCTATTCAGCTCAAGTAGCGTACAAGCGCTGTTTTGCTACAACAAACAAGGTCATGTTTATCTTAATTTGGAAACCTACCTATGTGGTTGCTAAAGGAAGTTATGAAATATTATATAGATCTACATTAAGATGTCAGACAGAGTCATTAGTTCGTATACTCTCATAATGAAATGTCTCAATCTTTCCACACTTGGGTACTCTTAAGGAAAGAATTCAGTTGTCCCTTTTTCCTTGCTACTGTAATTTTCGTAAAAATATATACCTAATTTTTTGATGCAACTATTTATTACCCGTTGACCTGTCAGCACTACCGTTTTTTGTTGTTTATATACTGGCTTTGCTTTGTAGGATTTTGTTTCTTGAAATATTGTAGTTTCTCATATTATTTGGAATTTTTCTTAGTAAATTGTAGAATTCTCCATTTGCATACTGCGAGGGGTGGGTATTTAGGTAAATATATGAACTGCATAGACTACATAGATTTGGAATGCAATATTGAAATCAATAGATCTCTTATGGGGTACCAACACTTGTAAATGGTCTATTAAACATTATGTCTATTGACTTGATTATTATACACTACATATTATATATTACATATTATTACTATACTAAAGTACATAATCTTATATACAGTGTTTTGTTTCCGCTATATAGCTGGTAGATAAGATTACATATAAAGTAATTAACGCTGTAAAGATCTTGGACATAAACGTAGTGGTATTTAATATATTGCTATGGAGATTTTGATATAACTAAAATAATGCTTTTAGTGGAAATTATCGACTCTTTAGGGTGTATTTTATTATTCAGTCAAGCGATTGTATTTTTATTTGAAATACAATAAGTAAAATAATATAAATACATGTTTCATTTGACTACGACTAGTTGAAGTGCAGAAAACTATCAAGCAGTTTTGTTATATGTTAGAAAACGTTTTCAAATGGTTAAGTTGCCAAAGGCGTAGTGTTAACTAAGTAGAAATCTCAATTATTATTCGACTACTAATTCGGTAGTAGAACTGAAAGATTAATTCATTTTAGTCTCCTCGGCAGTTTAGATATATTAGACAGATGGTGAGCTATCTCGTTTTGGTGCTGTTGTAACCGCTTTTAGTTACACCTTAAAACTTTTGTATTACTGCAATTCGATCCTCAAATCCCGATGAAGGTCTGTACTCCTAATGAACCACGGAACGTTGACTAAATTTCTTAGGATTCTGTTTTGGAAATGTTGGATAATTTATATGGACGATTTTGGTGCACATCCCCATAACTGGTATCCATATATTTACACCGTAGCTAAAACTTAGTTGTATATAATTAATTTGTTACTTAGATAGAAGGGTGATTTTTTGACAAAAAGGCAATGTAGCAAACCATTGTATGAGTTAAATGATTGTGAAGTTATTTCTATTAAGAATTATCGAGATTATAATATCCAAAAGAATAGTATACCATACATAGTTTACTATTTTGATGCCAAAATAAATTGTGTATAAAATAGAGGATTACATTTTACTGCTGTCCCTCTTTCCTAGTGGAGCATAGGGCTTCAAAAAATAAAGGATAAAAGTAGATAATATCTTTTTTATATATCTAGATAATACTCATATATATCTATCCATACAATATCTACTTCTATAAAAATAAAGAAGTCTAAATATT